CGCTCAGTCTCAGGATCAGTTGTGCGAACACAGGGATTTGGTACTTTCACACCTCAGCCTGTTGGGCCTTTGGGTCAACTGGGAAAAGAGCAAACTCTCCCTGACGCAGAGGATCTCTTTTCTCGTATGGAGTTGGATTCGGTCGAACAGATGTGCGCGGTCGGTGCTAGCCTGCTTGAATAAGTTCAAGGGCAGGACAGCGGTCCCACTGATACTTTTTCAGAGGCTCTTGGGGCATATGGCGGTCGCAGCGGCACTTACACCGCTCGGCCTGTTACATATGAGACCGCTCCAGCACTGGCTTTATGGTCGAGTCACCAAACCTTCACCCCGTGGTCAGATCTTGCGTTCCTCCGGGCAGGGGTGCCCCTAGAGCAGATCTCCAGGCATGCTGTGGTCTACACGGATGCCTCGCGATATCCCAATTCGTCGGTCACCGACGTGACGTCTCCGTTCCCTCCTTCAGGGAACGAGGGTTACCATACGTAACCGAGACGTTACATTTTCAAGTTGACTAGTTAAAAATCGTAAAAATCGAGAATCGGTCAAACATTCTAGAAAAATCGAGATTTAAATTTTTAGCAAAATCGCTCAGCCCTAGTGGACGATAATGTTCTGTTTACCATAATTACATGTTGCAGTTTGATTATCGTTTTGAAAGCTCAACCTCTTTAAATTTGGGTGGATTCTGATTGGCTCTTTCACTTCGAAATATGGAAATTTACGAAATAAAACAGATTGCAAATTACATTTTATGTTGAATTTAAAAGTCGTATTTTTGATCTACTAAAGGCCTGTTCACACCAAGAACTACTGTAAAACTATAAAGATAACTGTAACGATAGCTATATTAGTGTTCACACCAGTGGACGATATTGTTATGTTTATTGTAATCATGCTCTGCAGTTTTGTCATACTGCCCCTTTAAATCCTTGAGCTCTTTAAAGTCAGGTGGATTCTGATTGGCTCTCAATGTTTTTATCGTTCATCAGCTATAGAACAAAAACATTACAATGACATCATTATAATTATAGCTGTTGTTTCACTGTTCTATTAGAATAAGAATGGTTTTCAAAAATTTCTAGTTATCTTTCTAGTTGTGAACGACACTTAATAGCACGAACAGAATTGGAAAACTCCCACCCCAAATATCAGACCACTCCAACAAACAGCAAACATTTCGTTTCTGCATTTCAAACTACAAACTGCTAAAAATGACATACTTTACTTTTAACAATCACTTGTTCTACTTATTAATATGAACTGTAAGTAGAGATGCTAAAATTCAAAGAAAGCCATAAACTGGAACTGATCGTATTAGCGATATAAGCAATGATTTATGACTGATAAGCTGTTCAGACAATGATGAAAGCAGGAAGCAGATCACATCTGGTGTGTGGAGAGGGATGATTTGCTGCTTTGTTGGGCTTTAAACAGAAGACTGGCTCTGCAGCACTCTAAATGAGGAATGGTATGGGCGGATGCTCCGGGGCTTCGGTCAGCTTCTTATTTTCCCATTAACTCTCCATTAGCAGAGCCACATTGCCAATGTGCCACTCAAGAGCGGACCGCTCGGGCCTAATAGCCACAATCTCCAGGTGACTCAACATCTCTGTTGTGGTCAGAGATTAGTTGAAGCCACTTTGGTGTGTCTGTACAGTAGCCGCTCTCACACACACACACATTTAAAGCATTAATGTGGAGTGCTGCAGGTCACATGTTTTGTGGTGTTCCCTGCCTGTCCATTTTAAGCACCTCTCCCACACCGCACTCACTCGGTTACTCACGTTGCCACAGCAACACCATGGTGTCACCATCTAGAGCAACAAGATGCTCGCTGGTTATTGAATATATCTACCTCAGCAATTCAGTCTAATAAAGCAACTGCATGTCATTACTTTCTTGTGCAAGAGTTATATTGCACCAAAGACACATTTGTACTTCATTGTTTAAATGATTTCATTTATTGCACTCGTATTTAGCTTCACAATTATAATTAGTTTTTATATTAAGGGGGTCTGAATACTTTCCGTACCCACTGTATATACATTTTAGTAATTAATACTGTATATATAGATTATATAGATTAAAGATTAATACAGTATTATATATATATATATATATATATAAACTGTTTATTCAATGTATATACAGTATTAATAATTAATACTGTAGATTATATATAGATTAATACAGTATTAGTTATCTAATTAAAGCTGACAAATAATTAAATACATTGATATGAAGTTGAAATTATTATATTATGTGTAAATTAGCTAGTCGGCGAAGCAAAAAGACAAACGCTGCAACAATATTATGGTTTTAATTTATTTTAATTTATATACAGGTGCATCTCAATAAATTAGAATGTCGTGGAAAAGTTAATTTGCAGTTCAAGTAAACAAAAAATCTGTTTTCTTGTTTTATGAGTGCAGACTCCTGAACTTTTAGTCAAAAATATGTGCTATTTGTGGATTCATAATGGACTTGATGAACCCTTTCTCACTGCATCTTTATTAATGGGCCTCTAACGCTGCACTGGATGCTCTACATTATTGCTCTTGGAGCAGAAATGCACAGTTTCATCTCCATAGCATCTGCTTAGCTCATCTCAGGTGCAGGGATTTATTTGCTTGCTTATACTGAAAGTCCACCTCTGCGGCCAGCACTCACACACACAGTGTAAGTGGTAGGCCGTTATGCTCTCAATGCTTATGTAAATCAGAGAAGATGAGGGCGCTGTGGCACAGATAGCAGACTCATCCATCTCTGGTGTGCCTGCAGCTGTGGTGTAGTGTGATGTCCGGGCTGGAGGGAGATTGATGGCTGTGGGGTGTTATTGGCTTACGCCCATGATGCACTCTCTCATCAGTGCGCTCAACATTACAGCAGTCCTCCCAGCTCTCCACAGACTCCGGACGGATCTCAGACGGGCTTAGTCACAAAGACTGGCTTAAAGGAATATTCCAGGTTTATTTTCAGTCTGAAGATGGATTGTTCACCCCAAAATAATTTATTTACTCACCCTCATTTTCTGTCTTTTTTTAAACATACAATAACTAAAGAACTGTTTTTCACCATATAGTAAAAGTCAATGGGGTCCAAAACAACAATAAAGGGAAAAAAACTAAATAGAAAACAAGATATTTTCTTTTGTGTTCCACAGAAGAAAGAAAATCATACAGGTTTAAAATGACATGAAGGTGAGTAAATGATAACAAATCTTTCATTTTTGGGTGAACTGTCCCTTTAGGTTTTTTTTTTTTTTTTTCATTGGTCCCACTATTTTTTTTACCCCCAAACAGCACTATTCATTCTTGGCTTTCTGCACTTGTGACAGTACCCTAAAGCAATATTTTTTTTTTCTTGGATCTTCCGTGATTTCTTCATTTCTCCGAGCTCAGCGACGACTCTGTCATCCTAGAGCTGGTGTCTGGCTCTCAGTAAAAACTAACAGTGCTTTCTGTAATGCTGTAATGCCATCTCAGCCAAAACATACAGTACAGTACTGTTTAAAAGTTTGGGGTTAATACGATTTTTTTTCACGTTTTTGGAAAAAAAAAGTCTCTTATGTTCACCAAGGCTGCATTTATTTGCTCGGAAATACAGTAAAAACAGTAATATTTTGTAATATTATTACAATTAAAAAAACCTGTTTTCTATTTTAATGTAATATAATATAATGTAATTTATTCCTGTGGATATTCCAGCAAAGCTGAATTTTCTCCAGTCTTCAGTGTCACATGATCCTTCAGAAATCATTCTAATATGCTGATTTGCTGCTCAAGAAAGATTTCATATAATTATCAAGGTTAAAAACAGTTGTGGAAATCATAATACATTTCTCTCAGGATTCTTTGATGAATAGAGAGTTCAAAATAACATCACTGAAATAGAAAATGTATAGACATTTATATAGGCTAAATTAAATTTACTGTCACTTTTGGTCAATTTAATGCATCCTTGCTGAATAAAAGTATTATTCTCACTTGCTGACCCCAGATTTTTGATCATTAGTGTAATTGCCCTTCGCAGAGAGTTTGACTGACAGGCGATCTGACCAATCATAACGCCGGAACTGTGTAAAATTGTTTATTGACGTCTTGAAACAATATACCTTCTGATATTCACTCATGTTTATTTCATGCTATAACTAGTAAAGAGGAAGAGATGATCGCTTCACGTGCCACTTAAACCGAGGCTCTACAGCGATCTGTCACGACACATTAAAGAGCCACAAAATGGTATTTATTGTTTGAATGTCTTTAAAAAAATGACAAAATTTGGAAGCTGACTCTTTGTAAAGCCAAAAGCAACCTGCTCCGTCTTGTCTGTCGGCACGTTGTCAGTGTCCTCTTTGCTCCGTGAAGTATTTTTCACTGCGTGAGAACATGATGTGTAGTGTGAATGAGAGTGCCATGGCTTGTCGGACATAACAACAGAAACTAAGGGGGGCAGGTCTTTGCGAAGGGTCAGTTACGGGGATTTTGTCCCAACTGCTGTTGTTCAGGAGTAACTGTTGTTGTTGATGGTTTGAGTGGCTTCTATGACAGATGATGCAACTCTAATCTGTGGGATTTATCTCTTTTAATGCTCTGAGGTGAGTCTTTTGGGATAACACATGCTCTGTCCCTGTCATTGTGTGAATATGTGTGTTGTCCCAGTTGGCTGAATGGCCCGGCAGGTTCGAGTGGGTTTTGTGACTTCATCTGGCCCTCCTGCACTGTTGTAGATGAGCAGCCAAGTCATCCTGTTGAGATGCTGTATGGAGAAGTATATGGACTCACAAACACTTAGAAACATCCACTGGCAGGCACAGTCATAATCCCTTTTGTGTCTCTTGCTTCTTTCATAAAACCAGACAATGTGAGTATGGGATTTTATCAGGTTATATGAGGACAAATAGAAGCACAAAATGATTGAAGGAAGGCCTAGTCTTAGCAAAAAACGCACTTTGTAACTTTTTGGGGGAATTTTTGTCTTAAAAGGTCTTCAAGATTATTACTATTGTGTCATTTGGTCGCATAAGACAATTTGGTTTGTAATGACTCTATTTGCTTATGTTTTGTGTGCGTTTTTGAACATATTATTGATGGTCTTTCTCAGGAGAACCCAGAGCACAGGACAGGAGCCCCTCCTGAGGCAGGGCTCCTCTGCTGGCCGAGCGCTTCAGCCACTCTCTGAGCAGGCCATCAAGCACATATGGGTCCGCACGGCCCTCTTTGAGAAAGTCCTGGACAAAATAGTGCAGTATATTGTGGATAATGCAAGGTAATGAGCATCAGTACTGTATTTCAGTTCATGCAACTTTGTATGATTTAGTTTTTAGGATTTAAAAAATTTTTTTTTTTAATCTTTAGCAAGTCTACAAACAATTATCAGTTTTTTGTACTGTACATTATAATGTTGCGACACCTATTTTCACTTTTAGCTCATTTAAAATGATCGATTTATGAGTGATTATTTTAATTTATCTAGGCAAAATAATAAAGAATTTTAATATCAAACATTTATCTGTTATTAGCATAACATGAAACATTTTTAAACATTTAGCTTATTGATATAGGATGGAATTTTAATATATGTGTGTGCCTTTTTTTTCTTAAATAATAGTGGCTGCATAACATGCATTGCTTATCTCTCTTATGCAAAGTGTTATTTGCCAAGATTAAGGTTTGAAATTTATAATTTGTCCACGGTGATTGTTTGGGCTGTCATATGGAGCTTGTGAAATAATGTGTTATTTGTTCAGCCTTTGAAAGAGGTCTCTGGTTATTGACATACACATTGTGTGTGTTTGCTGTTTGTGTGTGTCTGTAGTAAGTATTATGAAAAGGAGGCCCTCATGCACGACTCTGTGTTTGGCCCGATACTGGCAGCACTGCTGGGTGAGTCTATCTGATGCATCGATCACACTCTATTTACTCATATTACAGCTAATCGAGATTTATAGATGTTGTTCAATAAACGTATTAAATTGTGTTCAAATGGTGTTAGCGTTCATTATTTTATTATAATTCACTTTTTTATCACAATATGTTATCACATTACAATTTGTTTTGTGTAAAAATCAATATTTTTCATCTATAGTCGGGCCGTGCGCTCTAGAGTACACTAAGCTCAAGACGTCGGATCATTTCTGGACGGACCCGTCAGCAAATGAGCTGGTCCAGAGGCATCGCATTCACGGGGCCCACAGGGGCCAAGAAGTGTCGCCGGGCCGCAGGCCTGCACTTGGGGTGAGAATATCAGACGTATAGGGGTGCTTGTGCAGTAGTTTTGTTCTAGTAAATAATCCATTTAAAATCCAATTTTGATGGTTTTTCCTCAGATCCGAAAGCGTCAGTCCTCTGGAAGCATGTCTGAGGACAAGTTTGCAGCCTCGGCGAGAGAGTACGTCGAATCCCTACACCAAAACTCACGCATTCACTTGCTCTATGGAAAAAACAATGTACTCGTTCAACCGGTAAGACAGTACATACACACACACACATGCAAATGCACTTACAGGAAAACTAGTCTGCATCTACAGATCTTTATGTAGATGGCTGTAACAAAAGGGATTGATTTTAGATCAGTGAATCTCATCTAATCAGTATAATGGATCTCAAGGGCTACTGGTTATGGGGATTGAGCCAGAGTGGTGTAGATAGGTAGAACTGTTCAAATTGTTGTCTTCCCTTGTGTAATGAATGGTCAGATGGGTTTCCCTGGCATTTTTAGCTGACTTCCCGGCTGCTAGTTGGCTACTCTTGTGAACTGGAAAAGGCAGACTGGATTAGCCATTACACCACATTAGATTTGTCATCAAATGAGTCTATTATTCATTTTTATTTATCTTTAACGTTTAAACTTTGTCAGATATTTAGCTTCAATGTAGCACACATTTCAGTATCAGTTATTGATTTAATTCACATTATATCACCGATTTTTAATTATATTATATTTAATTTTATATTCATGCGTATTTCTCTCAGCGGACTGTGGGGGTACTCTGGTGTTAGTAAGTCAGGATGGAATCCAGCGGCCTCCTCTGCACTTCCCTCCTGGGGGCCACCTGCTGGCTTTCCTGTCCTGTTTGGAGACGGGTTTACTGCCCCGTGGTCAGCTTGAGCCCCCCCTCTCGTCCCAGAAGGGCAAGGTGAGTGTTTTGCTGCAGAAGTCATGTAATAGAATGTTGAAATTAGTCAGTAACATTTCAAACATCCAAATCATTAAAGAATAGAATGAAAATTAAGATGCTGAAATTTTACTCACCCTCAAGGCCATCCAAGATGTAGATTAGTTTTTCTTCATTGGAACAGATTTGGAGAAATTTAGCATTACATCACTTGCTCACCAGTGGATCCTCTGCAGTGAATGGGTGCCGTCAGAATGAGATCTCAAACAGCTGATTAAAACATCATAATAAATAATCCACATGACTCCAGTCCATCAGTATGATGTTTTAATGGAATTAACCAGTGAATGCACCCATTCACTGCAGAGGATCCATTGGTGAGCAAGTGATGTAATGCAAAATTTTTCCAAATCTGTTCTGATGTAGAAACATCAGATTCTAGTTTTTTGCTTGTTGATGTAACGGAGGCCAGCTGTAGGCGCTGTACAGGTAAACCTCACTCCCCTGATCTTTAGTCTCCTTGTTAGTGCACCCGCCTCCCATGCCGGAGACCCGGGTTTGAGTACCGCTCGGAGCGGGTGCGAGTAGGACCCGGGAGAGAGGGGTTACATTGACACACTGCAAATAAATTACAAAATGTTCCTTATTTGAAGTGAGAAACTGAGTTTAGTTTGATTATGACTCTGTGTGTTTGCTTAACAGGGTAAAGTCTTCCCTAAGCTCCGTAAGAGGAACAGCATGGCCCGTTTAGTGGATCAGGATGGAGATGGCGAGGAGCAGATCGCTGCAGACTATGTGTTTCGCATCGTCTATCCGGGGCACCGTCACGACTCAAGTGAGTCTCCGCAGAAATGTGCCTTTCCTCTTCACATCTCTGTCTCTGTCTCTCTTCGCACATCCAGTATCTGTCCATCTATCCATCCGTCCATCCATCCACAGTGACCCCAAAAGCATCGAACACTTCAAAACCAGACATTAAAATGCATGAATCTTGCATTATAATTAAATTCATATCATTTTAAGTGTGACTTAAGCATCCAAAAGTACTTTTTTGGGGCCAATCTTAAAACCCTATTGGTACTCACATATCCATAACTCGCATCCACTGTTCAGCCAGACCTGATTTCCCAGATGTGTGAATGCTGAACAGGGCTGCATCTATGGGATGATATTAGACTCAAAATGATTATCCCGAATTCCACAGACTCAAATTGAAAGGCATTTGTTTGTGGTTAGTAAGATACATGCATAAAATGTATGCAGTACATGGATAATTGTGCGTGCATCTATTAATCATTTTGAGTCATCCCATATGCATCAGACACCATCCCCACATATCATTGTCGTCTGTGTGTTTTGTTCTCACTTTTCTGTGGAACATAACAGCCGTTGTGGAGGCTGCTGGGAGGGATGTGAGTATTAGACGCAGCCTTTAGATTTTTTAACTGTTCTGACTGGGATGAAAGTGCTCCTTTTTATATCTGTGTATGTACGCACTGCAAAAAAATAAACAATCTAAGACACAGTTTTTGTCTTGATTTCCAGTTAAAATATCAAAACATCCTTAAAACAAGACCCATTTACTTAAGATATCAAGCCTTGTTTTCAAAGAACATATCTTGAATTACATTTTAATTCAATAAATTATAATTAAACATTAGAATTTTTGAAATACTTTTTTAAATCAATTTATAATTAATTTTAAGATTTTAACTTTAAATTTTAGGATGACCTTTTTCTGTTAAACTTTTAAATTTAAAGTCCCCCTGTAGTCAAAAATTGTATCCTTTAAAACTAATCTTTGATCATAAAAATTACATATTTAAATTTTTTTTCTTGTGAAAATAATTTTCTCATGCCTTAAAATAGCTTGAATGCAACTCTACACCCTTGCCTCATTTACTATACGCGGATCTATGAATACGCAAATTAGCCCCGCCTCAGTCACACAGCAGCCAGCCATGAGCCAGCGCCTCCTGAACTGTACTGAACTGTAGTAAGTGCGATACAATGGCAATGGCAAGTGGAAATATTGGTTTAATTAAGCCTTATGTGTTTGAACCAGAAATAAGCTGGTATGCTCAACGTAAGCAAGGAGACTGATGGCTAACTTCGTGAGGTAACATTATCTGTTTGCGCTGGTTCGTACACGGATAATGACTGATAAAACTGTTTTTACTAGCGGACAACTACAGTGGATACTGTAACATTCGTTAAATTTACTTACTTGACGATGTTGTGTCCTCAAAATGCCTTGAAGACTCAAATGCAGCCAAGTTTGTGATTCCAAATCGTGCCCGCGATCATACGCGTGTGACGTGCGGATGTCAATGCGGGAGAGGTGCGTCTGACTCCGGGCTACTTTTACACTGCTGCCGCGGGTTATTATTCAAGTTAGCGGTTCTAAATACAAATAAATAAGCGCTAACAGCACATGACATCGTGAAAATAGGGGGAAATATTAACAGTTGGCGAAACATCTACAGAAAAAATATAACTGTTACCGGATTAACCTGGCTGCCTTCTCACTAGACCCTCTGCTTTGCAGCACAGTTAATGATATGCTAAGGATAGGATCCCTTGACGCGATTGGTTATTGAGTTTTGTGACGTAGCAAAACAAAGGCTGTTTCAAACCGCGTTTCTGTGACTGCCTTTGGGAAACTACAGTTTTAAGGAGAAAATACTCAGCAATGGTGTTGATAAATGGATTGGCACATGGTTTGTCTAAAAGCATATTAAAAACA